AGGTGCCGTCACCACCACCATCCTTGATGCAACCATCAACACCTCCAATGCCAGCAAAAAGACTGGAGGTTTCTCAGCAATCAGGACCTGAGGTATCTCACCATTGGCAGGAGCAGGTATCTTCTGAAAGCCAGCACAGGCATCCAACAGGGACACTTCCACAGTACACATCTCCTGGCTGTAAAACCAGTTCACATCCTGGGGAGTCTTTGACACCACACATTGGCTTTTCACAGGACACTTCAAAAATGGACAGCGATGATGCTGCTTCAGGTTCAGATAGTAAAAAGAAGAAAAGGTACAGACCCAGAGACTACACGGTCAACTTGGATGGGCAGGTCACAGAAGGGGGTGTGAAACCTGTGAGGTTAAAAGAGAGAAAACTCACTTTTGATCCCATGACTGGACAGATAAAACCTCTAACACAAAAAGACCCCTTGCAGGTAGAAATTCCTGCACTTGCCGAACAGCACAGGACAGAAACAGAAGAGCAGGAGCAAAAACCCAACCTGCAAAGTCCTTTTGAACAAACGAACTGGAAAGAGTTATCCAGAAACGAAATAATTCAGTCCTATTTAAATAGACAGAGTAGCTTGCTGTCGTCTTCAGGAGTACAAACGCCTGGTGCTCACTACTTCATGTCTGAATATTTAAAGCAGGAGGAAAGCACTAGAAAAGAGGCTAGAAAGACTCATGTTCTAGCTCCTCACAGCAAGCCCACAGACTTGCCTGGGATCACGAGAGAGGTCACAAGTGATGATCTCAACAGAATACGTGAACATCACTGGCCAGGCGTGAACGGTTGTTTTGATACACAGGGTAACTGGTATGATTGGACGCAGTGCATATCTTTAGATCCACATGGGGATGACGGTAGATTGAATATCCTGCCTTATGTCTGCCTAGACTGAGTACTGTTTTGCTAAAACGCTTTTACATCTGCAGTTAGCAAAGATGGCAGACACTATGCCACTTAACATGGAGAGAGCCTCCTGTCCTGGACAAAGAGGCCCACCGAGCAGAGGGTGTGAAGGAGCTGGTTCTTTTCAGCTCTTTCCTTTCAGTTCTCCTATTGTGAAATGCTGCTACCAGTTTACTAACAAAATTGCAAAGGAAGGCATACGAAGGTTGATAAATTGAGTTCAAAACTCTATAGCAAGCCAGCTATAAAGTGTTAGTCCCCAAGAAGTGAAGATGATTTCCAGCACTTTGTGAATGCCGGAATCTTACTACAGGCAGGTACAGATAATTTGTGGAAGTTACCTTAACAAAATATGCATCTATTTATTTGACTTGATTTGGGTTTTTATTTGGCAGTGAAACATCCGAGACAAAAGTGCAAAAACTGTAGTTTATTTGGATCACACCTCTCTGCCCATGATTGCGTTCTTTTACAGTCATGTAGTACAGAGATTGGTTTTAAACAGCAGGTGTTGCACTGCAGGCTGGCCAGCCAGCTTCAGCTCAGCATTCCATAGGCATCCACATATTTCAGTCTGGTTTCAGTTTAAATCCAGTCTCTGAGAAATGCTGCAAAAACTAGTTATTTTAGTTATTCTTCAAACTTGATCCCACCGCCACCAGCCAAATAATTTTTCTCTTTTCCCAATCTGGAAATTTCTAGTGGGGAAAAAAATCACCTTTTCTAGAATCCAAAAGTAATGAGGGTGCTACAAGTTTGTAACTGTACTGTGAGAGGGAAAAAGGAAGCCTGTTTGTATGCTGGAAATATACTTGTTACCATTCCTTTAGATATTGTTTGCCTTATGGATATCCATCATAAACGCAATTTGCAAAAACAAAGAGCCTTAGTGAATGTACAGTAACTAGACTTCTGTGTTCTTGGGATGCAGAAGGGAGCAACTTTGCTATTTGGTCCTTTAAGCGGACACATTGTGATATAAATGTGGAAATAAAAAAAATTTGCACAAAAAAGTTTGTGAATTATTTATATTTGAAGTTGTTTAAAGTTTGGTCAGTTCAGACAAGCCAAATGATGATGACTGAAACAGAGTATGTTTTGCATAGTGTGACAAACCTGCATCCTGTTTAGTATTTTTCTAAGACAATTGAAGATGATTAGTGATAGACAATGTATTTTCCAGCTTTTCTTAGTCTTCCAAGTGTGCTGACAATATTTAGTAATATGTTGGACTTTGTTTAAAACTCTGGTTAAATCCAGGAGGAACATGTTTAGTTTTAGAGACTGTCCTACAAGTTACTGTTAAGGTACCCCAGCTAATTATTTGGTTTTCTCTTCAGTAATTTAATAATCCCAAATGTTAATTATGTCTTCTTTTATCAAGGTCTGGATAAAAAAGTTTATATTCAGTACAGCAGGATAAATGTCTCCAACTGGCACTGTTATGACTAGAATAATCAGGACCGCTTTCTTTTTTACCACCTCTGAGATTAGGTTTCTCTCCTACTATATTAAGGTTTTTTGGTTTTTTTTTGGTATTAATGTTGCTGCCTCTAGTGACCAGAAAAGCACCATTGGGCCCTGATCCTGCTTCCATGGAGACACCTGGCAAAACTTCAGTGAGAGCAGGATCAGATGCTTAATTATTTATACAAGTTTTAAAATACACCTGCTTCATCGGGTGAGCGTTGGCTTGTTCCATGGAGAATAATGTGAAAAGTGTTTGAAGTCTAACCCTTTCTATTCAGACGGAATGCTTTTGTGATTTGCCTGGCTGGTGAAATACTGAAATCTGCTGTATGTGGGTATTTCAAAAATCTCCTACTGGTACCTCACTGTTTCTTTTCTAAATATGGAGGTCCTAGGGAGAGACTTCCCAGATGGAGAAACTAGTCACCACAAAATGTTTCCAAGTATATTTTCAGTTTACTTCCATTTTACCCTTCTGCAGTGATAAGGTCATGCAGGCTGCTTAGGGCTGGGAAAATTAAATGGATCTTGTGAGTCAAACGGTGGAGGTGGGCTAGGAAGGCTTATCATCCTAGAAATGCTTGACCTTGTTTATGTAGAAAACTTTAAATATATTTATTTTTGCACCAAAAGAGTCTCTGTTCTTTCTCTCCCCCTTTTACTCTTTC